AAGCAGTACAAATTTATGACTTTGCTCATATCTGACAGCTGAATGGCAGAGCTGCTAACATTTACTGGGAACATACCATGCATTTTACATTTTAGGGGTGCTAAACATTTCACATGCATTGTTCTCCCCGAACCTAGGACAGGCAGTACTAAGAGATGAGTGCTTTTTATAAATGGCAAAGCTGATGCCAAGACAGTAGGTAACCTATGCAAGACTGGTTGGTAGGTACCCGAGCACAGTTTCTGGGGATACTGGGTGAGGGAGAAGATGAGAGAAGAGGAACAACATTAAGTCAGACCCTGAAGAGGAGAGTAGATGGCAAAGCGAGAGAAGTGTTCTTGTATAAGACAGAAGTTCCACGGCAGAGGAGAATGAGCCATACACTCCAGGAAACAAGGAGAAAATACCTATTTCCAAGACAAAGAACATGTATTTAAGAGTAACATAGCATTTGGACATGGCAAAGCAGTTGTGGGCATCAAGAAGCTGGATAGTGGGAGGAGAAGGTCTCTGAAATTCGCCATTTAAGAGAAACCAGACTATAAGAGATGGCCCTGAAGAGCCTGTGAGGTTTGGGGGACTCTTTCCTTCTGCTGTCCTTGGACACTCCCTTCCCCAGAGGCCAACATCTCTGTGTGGTGGTAGTTATTCTATGACTGAGCATTCAACCTTCCTAATGCTACAACCCTTTAATATAGTTCCTCGTGTTGTAGTGACTCTCAACTGTAAAATTATTTTCATTGCTACTTCATAAATTTTGTTTGCTACTGTTGTGAATCATAATGTAAATATCTGATATGCAGGATGGTCTTAGGTGACGCCTGTGAATGAAAGGAGTCATTATCCACAGTAGAGAACCGCTGTTCTGAGCACTTGTTTATTCAGGTTTGTGCCGTCTAACCCTGGAAAATACTTTCCATGAGTCAACTTCTGAAGGTGAGCATTTTATAAATATATGTAAGTTCAGGTGCCTGGATCTACTGCAGGGATTACTCCAGAATCACCCAGGAGAAAGCTCTTTGGGCAGACACATGAGAGATTATCTAGATTAAGGTTAGCCTCTGTGAATGTCTGTGAAGATCCATCTTAATTTGAACCATACCAGTCCCTGGGCAGGGATCCCAGACGGTTGAATGGAGAGACAGAGCTGAGTACCAGCACTCATGGGTCTATGCTTCCTGTGTGGATGGATGTGACCAGCTGCTTCAAGCCCCTGTCGCCTTGACTTGCCAGCAACAGTGACTATACCATCGAACTGTGAGCCGGAACAAACCCTTTCCCCTTGCACTGCTTTTGTGAGGCTGTTTTATTACAGCAACAGGAAGAGAAACTAAGGCAGACAATAGCAGGTTTTACTAATGGAGATCACGGGAGCCTGGTACTTATGGTATATCTGATTGAGAATAATGTTTCATTTTTGTGAGAAATACCATATTTGCCATGCCTATTGAAAGCTGTCCTCCAAGCATTAAATCTGAAAGCAGTTAGGAACTGCAGAGAATATGTATGGGGTATAGCTTACTGGTGGGGTGTATGCTTAGCATATGTGATGCCCTGGGTTCAGCCCCCCTCAAAATAACGGAGGAAGGGAGCAGGGGATAAGAACTAGAGAGCATCTTTCAGTGTGGGTGTGCATCATCCAATCAGCCTGGTAGAGCTCTGCCCTACAGGAAAGTGTTGGTTATCTCTGACCATCACTGCAAGTCTTAGGGTCCTTACCTTCTCAGGGTCAGAAATCGTGCTGCAGTGGGGGAATGTGTGCCAAGGCTTCATAGTTTGTATGAGAACATCAGTAGATTTTTGATTTCTGTTTGTGATTTATATATTGTCAAACTTTACAGAACAAGAAATCATATGTCAAAGGGGATGGGGACTAGAATGGGTATTTATAAAAATTCAAACTATATTAGACTATTCAAGAAATCACTGAAATTGCAGTTAGTTGGACTTTATTTATTTTGGAGACAAGATCTTTTTTGGGTTTTTGGTTTTTGGGGGGGGTTGGTTTTTTTTGGTTTGGGTTTTTTTTTTTTTTTTTTTTTTTGAGATAGGGTTTCGCTGTAACTTTAGAGCTTGTCCTGAAATTTGTTCTATAGACCAGGCTAACCTCAAATTCACAGAGATTCGCCTGCCTTTGCTTCTTGAGTGCTGGGAATAAAGGTGCGTGACACTGCTGCTCGGCTGGAGGCAAGATCTTATATAGCTCAGCTGATCTGGAACAAGCTGGCCTCCAACTAATTTATGATCCTCCTGGCTCCCGAGTGCTGGGATTTTCAGGTATGTGCAACCACACATAGGTTTATGCAGTGCTGAAACCCAGGGCCTTGTGTATGCTGGACAAGCACTCCTCAACTGAACTATATCTTTATCCCTGAGACTGTTTAGAAAATGAACCTCCAAACTGGGCAGGGTGGTGTACACCTTTAATCCCAGCACTTGGGAGGCATCCTAATCTAAATAGTGAGTTCCAGGCCAGCCAGGGCTATACAATAAGACCCTTACTTGAAAAAGCATGGCCATATTAAAGCCAGGGTATAAAACTTCATTAAAGAATATGTTTTATCTGCCATTTATGTTTTGGCCTTCCTTTGGTGAACAATAAATATGATTCAGGCACTTATATGCCCAGGAGGTGTTTTTGGCTTCCTACTGTTTGAGTCTGGTCTGGAGTTTTTGTATGAAAATGTTTGTGGGTGACAGTTGGTGTGGCTTGGGCAGTTTGTGGGGCCACTGGCCATGGAACCAGTATTTATCCCTAGTGCATGAACTTGCTCAGCCTAGATATGGAGAAGTGATGTGACAGAGTTCATTGACTCCCCATGGAAGGCCTCACCCTCTCTAAGAAATGGACGGGGATGAGGGTGTGGGGAAGGTGGTGTGAGCGGGAGGAGGGGAGGGAGAGGGAACAGGGATTGGTATGTAAAATAAAAAAGATTGTTTTTAAAAATGTTTGAAATAAAGGCTCTTAGGTCAGGCAGGGTGGTGCATGCCTATAAGCCCCAGAGAGGCAGGAGAACACTTGCTCATTTAAAGCCAGCTTGTTCTATATGACTTATTCTAGGCCCACCAAGGCTACATAGACTTGGCTCAGCATAAACTAAGTTCGTAATGTAACTGTTACCCTGTGGAACGTCACTGAACTACCTGCTTTTGATAGATGATTGAGCACGCCCCACAGCCCATGCCTGTTGTCTGCTATCGAAGGGTTCTGGCATCATGCAGTACTTGACCAGATCCTGAGTATGTCTGGTTGGGGAGAGATAAGCACCCACATACACCTTAGTGGAAAAGATGACCACACCTTTGGCAGTGTTCTGACTGATGAAAGAACATAATAGCTGGCTCAGCTCACACTCACCCTCAGTTCCCAACACTGACATAAACATACTTGATAGGAACAGAAAACTGGAGTAAGAGTTTCTCGGCTGGCAGAGCACACGTATTTATACATTCTTCTGTGTCGAACTCAGTGGTTAGAGTGCTTTCTGGCATGACTGCAGTACACAAACGTTTTCAATTTGAGCTGGTGTGTTTTCATCTAATTAGTATTCAGGATAAAGTTCACTGCCCTGGAGATGGCTTGACTCAAGCTTTAAAAACAGACTAATGAAGTTCAGGTTTGGGACAAGGGACAAATATATAGACTTGGATTGTTTCCTATTAATGTTTGAATAGATGTAATATCATTCTAGAGAGAGAGAGTCATTCTGTTTCCAAACAACTGGTGCCCTTGCACAGACGACTCAGTGCTTACTGATGTTCAAAACAGCTTTGGAAAAATGCCCTGATTTTGATCAAAGGGAACCTTGCGAAAGCAGCAATAAACTAGAGCAGTGGTTGTGTATAGTTAGGTGTATTGAGGGGCATTTAAAATGAGACTTGCCTCCTGTGGAGGTGCACACCGTTAATCCCAGCACTTTGGAGGCAGAGGCAGGCAGATCTCTGGGAGGTCAAGGACAGTTAGGACTACATAGACCCTGTCTCAAAAGAGTGGAGTTCAATGATAGACCATATGCTTAGCAAGAGGGAAGGAGGCCCTAGGTTCAATATCCAGTAAAACACCCAAAACACCAGTGATCTATAAGGATTAATTTTGGTTAAGTGTGTTTTGTTTCTTTCCACTATTTGAACAGGAAATTCAGGGGAAAGCCATTGTTGATGCTGGTGCGTTCTAACATGTCTAGCGATAGCCGTAAAGTCATGAAGGCAGAGCAGCCACATGAGGAGTGTGTTCTGTGTTGATGGCAGGGAAGGGAGCCCCTGTGGGCACAGCTGCCCCTTATTCAGCACAATGAAAGCTGAAGCATGCCCGCCTGCCCACTCCAACAATGCGTATGAGCTTGATTCTGACTAGATGACACAGTCATTCAGCTTTACAGGTGCCTAAGGGAAAAATTGGACGTCATTTGTTCATGTGTGCGAGTTCTGTCATGGACTGTAACCATTTTGGAGTAGGAAAATCTCCATTTCTGCATTTGTCCAAACCATGCCATTTATGGCCTGTGAGGCCCTGTGCAGCCTATGTTAGCCTCAGTTTCCTCCACGAGTTAAACAGGTGTATCAGATGATCTCTGGCTTTCTCATCATGAAGTTCTGGCTTTTTTCTCTGCATAGGCAGCCTGGGATCTTGTTGCATAGGTCAAGTAGGACTGTTAGGATTTTCTGAGGACCTACTTTCCCAGCAGACAGATACAAAAAGCAGCAATGCCACAGTCCCTTAGGAAGCCTGTGCTGGGTTTGCTGACATCATCAGGGAAAGTCTTGGATGATGAAGCAAGCACTCCTGAGTGCCAAAGTTGTCAGATGAAAATGCCACTCTGCACGTGCCCTGTTGGTATGACTTCTTCCTGTTTGAGATCCTGAGAGACGGCATGAATTGCCCAGCGCAAGTCCAGTTTACATAGCATTGATTCCTCCACACTCCTGACCAATCAGTTTCCTGGCATAAGGATCAATGAGTTATCCACAGTTCAAAATTTCTTGTTTTGTTTTTGTTTATATGGTTTTTTTTTTTTTTTTGAACAGGGCTTTTCTGAGTAACCCTGGCTATCCTGGAACTCCCTCTGTAGACCAGGCTCTCCCCAAACTCAAAGAGATCCACCTGCCTCTGCCTCCTGAGTGTTGAGATTAAAGATGTGTGTCACCACCGCCTGGCTCTGAATCTCTTTGTAGAGCTGCAGAAATACCAGGATGACCCGTGTCCCAGCACTTGATGATAATGGCACTGACCAACACACTGATAGTCTCAGTGGATACACTGTGGTTAAGGTTAAGTCTTGGATGATTCTGGACAAGGAAACAAGTATTCAAAATGGCAAAAGTACCCATGGGAGGTGTCCTCTTGTGCCCTCTTACATGACTACAGCTTGGCATTTATGACAACCCTGGGCCAGTCTTCTCATTTTGTTTGATCATCTGTCTGTGTAACCAAGGCTGTCCAATTCCTGATCCTCCTGCCTCCACCTTCCTTACAAGACATTGTACTTGACCTCCTTTTTTTAATCTTAACTTCGAAACAGTTCCTGGGCATAGTTGGAAGACTTGAGTATCTCTGGGATGTCACTGTCCAGTTTTGAAATAATTTTGTAAATGGGTTTCTTCCAGGAAGGATCTGAATCTTTCCCTGTGGAGACAGCCCTGAAGAACTCCTGTAATGTCAAGGTGGCAATTTCCAAGAAGCAGTCTGGGACCTGCATCCCCAAAGACACCCCCAAGAAAAGGAAGAATTGAGGCTGGAAGAGCTGGCACCATGGCGAGCCCTCTGGCAGTGATGCCTGTTGCTGGCTTAGAGTATTCCTGCTCTGCCACCCCAGCTTCTGCAGCCCAGGACTGCCCTGTTCCCTAGTGAAACCCAGAACTTAGATGACCATCCAGGGAAGCAGTCTTGGGAGCAAGTATCAGAGACTTATAGGAGTTACTGGTTCCACCAATTAGGCATGTTTTCGTAACTAAGTGAGAAATGACGTGAAGGGAAATGAGAAGTAGTAACATTCTTTTCCCTAGACCTGTTGTGAGAAGGTGGGCCCTCAAGCTTATGACTGTCATGCCTCACCCTCCATCCTGTAGGGCTCAGATCCCAAGGACTTAAATCCCTGTTTCCAAAGCCATTGGAAGGGGCTGGTCCAGGACCTTCACCCAAATCAGCACCATAGGTGACAGGATGTCCCACAGGCCTTTCAGATGCAGCTTGGTTAGGAAATTGCTGCCAATGCCTACCAAATGACCATCCCCACACGGCAGGGTAGAACCATGCTGCCCACCTCACGCTGTCTCTAACCCTTTCCTCTTCTATAGATAGCCTTCAGTTTCCAACATGTTCTGGCTGTGGAAACCAGCAGACTTTACACTCTTGAAGGGATCGATAAACTCCTGTGATCACAGTGAGAAAAGCAAGAAGAAAGCAATGCAGCCTGTGACCAGACACACTGGGCCCCTGGAGAGGAAGAGAGCAGCCAAACAGCAACCCATGGCACTCGCCACTTAGGCTCTAAGGCACCACTGTGCACCTTCACGGAGGCCCCGAGAGTTTGAGAATTCTTCAGCCTTGTTACATCCAGAAGAAATTTGAATTTGACACACATACAGAACTGAGAAAATACAAGAACCACGTGTTAGTAAGAGCAGAAATTGTCAGAAAAGCTAGGCAAGAAGTAGATGCTACAACAGAGCCCAGCATTTGACCTAGAAAGGACGTTCTTAGAGAGCCAGTCATTCAGAGAAAACACATCTCAGATCTCAGGGGACCCAGTGCATCGACTTACCTCAAAGTCATTTCCCTTGTTATAGTGTGTATTGAGGACTCGAAAAATCTCTGAATCACGGAGAACCGCCAGCATTTTGGGGTTTGTGACACCGTCTGAGATTGCTTGCCGGGCGTACTTTTCCATTTGGATGTAATAAAACTCACGGAAATTGCTGAACCACTTGATCATCTGGGAGGTGATGCAGCGGTTGAACTGTGTGAACAAGGGGTTCATCAAGTCAGACATTTGCCATGGGGTGCTCGCAGTCACAACTGTCAGTGTCCAGTTCAACCTGGGATCAATGTGAATGGCTTCAACCACCAACCTTCAGGAAAAGGAGCCACAGGTGCTGGCCAACCCTGTGCAGTTAGTCTCAAAACTCCTACCCTCACTAGAAAATAGAGTTTATGTGCTAGACCTTTAGGCTTTTGTCCATATATCTAAGCAAGACTTTGGGTTGGGCCCCAGAAACAGAAGGAGGAAGGGGCCAAGGGGGATGGTAAGGGTATGGCTCAGGGAGCAGTTTCCTGACTCCTGGAGCTGCAGAACAGATGTGAGTCAGTGTCTACTGCAGGGATTTCATGACTGAGATAAGAGCCCTTACCCCACAACTTATAGACTAGTGGATCTCAGAAACCCCCTGTGGGCACAGGCAGGGGTTGGTTCCAACATGCAGTTTGATTTACCTCACCGGCACACTTGATCTGTATGTGCTTCCACTTGGGTTTGAGACACAGCTGTCTGGTTGTAAGTTTGGCGTCTTATATGTATTTTGAGTGGGAGTCAAACCCATGTCTTTATGCATCCTAGGCATGTCCTGTACCACTGAGCTATATCCCAAGCTCCTTACAGTTTACCCATTTCTTTACTGTGCTTTATTCATTTTTTACTAATGTACTTTATTAACTGGTTTGTTATACCTAAAAAGTTAATCTACCAAGTTACCATAATTTTGGGATATAAATATTTTCAGCTAATGTTATGTCTGACAGATACAAGACAGCCACCATTAGTTTATGCTCATTCACCAGGAGCCTTAAATAGAGCAGCGTTACTCTTAAACTTCTCTGTGATCTCTGATATTTTCCAAGAGATCTTCAGACATGCCTTTTTCATATTCTCCGTCAGCTTAGCAATCTGTTCTTCCAGATGTTTTTCTAAGGATCCTACATGTGTAGCGATCATCTCAAAAAGATGCTGTAAGTTTTTTCTTTTCTCCTTTCTTCAGTTGAGGGTAGTACAACTTTTGTTGGTATTCCACCTGGACAGCCTGTAACGCATCCATGGCTTCCCTGAGGCCCTCGTTCACTGGTGTTTCTCCAGGAATTCAAGCTCGCTGGCACACTTCTCATCTTCTTCCTCAGCTCCTGAGCTTTTTGCTGGTAAAGGTCGTCCAGCCTTTGCACCTCACACTTGTGCTCTGTCTTCATGGTGTTTGGTTGTTCTAAAGCCTCCAGGCCGACCTTTTTCATTAGAGCTCTGTTCACTTCTTCCTCTCTTTCATTCGGGAACTCTTTGAGAGGTACATACACTGAGCCCTGTATTTGACAAGGCATTTGCCACCAACTTCGGGATTAAGTGTAATTTTGAAGTCATAACCTTTGAAATTGTCAGCACCTATGGGAATAAGCTTTCCTGTTGTAGCCAACTTGTGGTACTCTGCTAGCTGTGCTCCAGTCACCCCTTCACCTCCGTCCACATTTGTTGTTCAGCCTCCAGGTCTCAGTGTCTGCAACTGAGTACTTCTGGTTATCAATAATATTCTGTAGGTGAGCTTATTCTGTATCTGTCTTATTGTTTTACATTCTAGTTATTCTCTATCAATTTCTTCATCAAGACCACTAAATTTCTGGTCTAGAATGGATGAATGCAATTCCAAACCGCTCGTGTATGCTTTATGCTTTTGAACATATCCTTGCAAGGAAGTTTTCAGTTTCTTCAATGATATCAGATGATTCGGTTCTTTTTCTCTTCCTTGCTCCAGTCTTGTAATCTGCTCATTTAGTGCTTTGTTTTCCGCTGCTAATGACTCCAGCTTGGATGCATCTACCTTAAATGAATTCTTCAGCTTCGACTGCAGCTCTGCATTCATCTCTTCAAAGCTGTCAGCACTGATCATGAAACCCTCAGAGCATCTTAGGGTGTAGTCCAAAACCAACTCATTATGTAGAATTCCATCTTCAGTTTCTTCTCCCCAAGGCTGCCTGTCATCAAATAAAGGTGCGCTTCCTTTCGTGGCAGTATAAGTCTTGATGCGGTCTGTCAGCCACACCAAGACTGCCACAGTGTGAGGCCAGGTATGAGGGGCTCCCACTGTACACATGAAGTTTTTGGACAGTGCAAAGGATGCCCAAGGTCTTTAAAAATTCTTGGGACCTCTTCAAATTTTATATCAGGAAGTTCATATGTTGGACACAGGAAGCCATAAAGAAAGACAAAGATCTTTAGGAGACCTTTCATTGATAAGGCTTGTAGAGACTTCATGGATACGATATATATATATATATATACATTTTCTCTAAGAAACTCAGCTGTCAAATACATTTCTGAATGATGCTTTACCATTAAGTAGTCTTTGATTCTTAATTTTTTTTCCAGAACTGGAAAATATACCAAGTTGACAATCCTGGACCCGTGTCTGCTAGTCCTTTTACCAAATATTGAGACTTTTCTTTCAGTTGTAGGTTTGTTTATACTCGGCTTTCCAAAGGTTGTTCTCTGTTGGTTTGAGGGGTATGAAGGCCTGGCTTATTGAGGTCCAGGGATCTTAACTTGTATGTAGAGAGGCAGCCAGCACCACTAGTGGAAACTGAACTGCACTTCATGCTTAGAACTGATCGGTGAAAACAGAGCCTGGCAGATTGCACTCCGGGCCTCTCACACCACAGAGCATTTTAGCACAGAGTTGATTCCAATGTAAGCAGTTCCCTTTCTCGGTTTCTTAAACTACATTCTTTTTCTTTAAAAGAAAAAAATAAGATTTGGGCTTGGGCTATAGCCCAGTGGTAGAGCTCTTACCTGCCATGCCCAAGGCCCTGGGTTCAACCCCCATTAAAAAATATGTGTATGAGTGTTTTGACTACATATATGTATATGCACCATATGCTTGTAGTGCCTGCAGAGGCCAGAAGAGGGCATCAGATCTCATGAATTAGAATGGAATTAGAGATGGCAGTGAGCTGCCATGTGGGTACCAGGGACCAAATCTGGATCCACTCCAGGGGTAGCAAGTGGTCTTAACCACTGAACCATATCTTCAGCCCCATTTATTGTTTTTGATAAGGTCCCCACCAAAGAGTAATTACTAGACCAAAGAGTCTACCCAATACTATCATTTTTCTCCCATACTTATACTTCCCGTGCACTTCTGGGATTATCTACTGCTCAAAGGCTGAAACATTCTGAAACCCACCTTTTCGTAGTATAAGGAGATCCATGATTTTCTCCAGACAGTCTCAGAACTGGAAATTGCACCAGTTCCATCAATCACACGAAGGAAGGGCAGTGAAGACCTAGGACCTGCCTCACACTGGGCAAAACACAGCGGCTGGAGAGTTACACAGAGGCTGAAACAGTGTGTGACTTTACCTGGACATCAGAGAAATACGCTTTCAGGAGGCTGGAACTGGGGTACCGTGTGAAGAAAAACATGAGTTTGGCCTTCTTCAAGTGACCAGGGCTCAGGCCTTCCTGGATGTGCTTTGGTGTCAAGGACAAGAACATCTTAAAGCACCAGCTTACATTCTGGGCTGATGGCACTTCCACAAGCATGGGGGACACTTGTAAAACTCACCAGACTTTCTCTAAGTCATGTGGGAAGCACCAGCCCTACAGAATGACATGGGACTGTGGAAGCAGGGATTCTCCATCTACCCAGGGAAAGCAGCCTTTGTGGCAGAAAGCAGAGTGCTGATGTGGGGGCAGCCTTAGCCCTTCCACTAAAACTACCAGAAGGTTGTCCAGAACCTACCTGCAGAGCCAAGCCAGTGCTGGCCTCTAAGAGATGACAGCATTTTGGATAGAGAGGCAACAAAGGGCAAGTGACCCAGTCTAAGTGGATTTTGTTACTACAAAATCATGAAGTTATAGGTGTGCAATTGGAATCCCAGAAATTGGGAGATGGAGGCAGGAGGACCAGAAGTTCAAGGTCACCCAGCCTGACTCCAAATTAAAAATAAATAATATTAAACCAGTTTATCAAATAATTGTGTCAGATTTTCTGAGAAATGATTGCCTGTTCTTTGTGGTTTCTGCTTTAGTTTTATTTATTTATTTTGACTGAATGGGGATTTTGCCATATTTTTCTTTTCTGGAAATAGATCAGATAAGCCGGAAGTCGCCTGCATCAAATTGCACAATATTCAAGCATCTTGGTGTGTGAAAGTCACACCTCATGGCTTGTCTGGCACCAGTACAGCATCCTGTATCCTGTGTGCTTTTTCAGAACAGGGTGGGAGAGACAGCTCTGCCACAGACAGAGCCCTTGGGAGCCTCGGGTAGGGACTTCCTTTCATTCTACCTCAGTTTCCTATAGAGTAAGAGAGGGGTCGCCTCAGTGGTCTCCTGACTAGCCAGGCAGAGTATCAGATCCCACAAAGCTCTTGCTCTGTAGAGAAGTCTTGTCCTGAGCTACACTGTGCCCCTCCTGGCACCTGGCAGAACTTCCCATTGTCTGCTAAACTGCAGCTCAGAAGCTCGGTGTCCTATGGTAGCTTTCCTTACAGAATTAGGCCTTGCTTAGCCAGGACTCACGGGCCCTGCACAAACCTCTATTACGATTTTAGACTCACTGGAACTTTCACTCCAAGTGCTGTCTTCCCCACTGAGGCTGTGAGCTCCCTGTGGGCAAGGGCTTGATCTTACCTAGGTTCCACACACCCATCCCAGTAGCTGTTCAGTGAAAGCATGTTAAAGGGGTGAGGGGATGGCCAGCACTAAGTCAGATACACGTATGGAAAATGACACTTCAAGCCACCCCTCCCCGTGAAGACGAATGTGCTTCTCTAACAATCGGAGGGGTTCTGTGGTGCCGCCCTAAGCACACATGAATGTCTAGAGTTGGCAGGGACAGTCCTGAGGCTACTAAGGAGCATTCCATGAGTAACCTTGGGTGTCACCTCCATTTAATTGTAACTGTATGACAGCAATCCCAGTAAGAAAACTCGAGTTAACCAAAAGAAACCAAATCACTGAATGTAGATGGGCCAGGCAGCTAGTCTGCTGTGTGGAAAACCCCACCCCCTGCTCCACTGGTTCATAAAAGCTGTGAAAATAATTCTGGATTTGGGAACCCAAAACCCTAAGTTGGTTTACTGATTTGGTCACTTATTATAGCTGTATGATCTGGGGAAGTCACTTGACTTCTCCGGTGGCTTCTTTCTAAAATGTACAGTGGTTAAAACTTGCGTTTGGCCGCTCATTAGATACTGGGTGTGAATCCTGCATCCTCGTTTGCCTATTTTGTGACCTTGAGCAGGTTAGTTTGCTCCTCGCTCCTGCCTCGCCTCTTAGATACCTGATCCTCAGCTATAGCCCTAATGTGAGTCACTGGGCCAAATGGAGTTCTGAGTTCAGAATTTCAGTTATTTTAGAAAAGATTAATGTGGGTCTGGGGAGATGGCTCAGTGCTGAAACAGCCCTGGCTGCTCTTCCAGAGGTCCTGGGTTCAATTCCCACTTCCCACATGGCAGCTCACAACTGTAATTCCAGTTGCAGGGGATCTAGCACACTCATATAGACATACGTGCACGAGAAAACACATGAAATATAAATAGATAAACAGGGCTGACGTGGATGCAGGGGCTGAGTGGGAGAAAGTGTATAAATAGCCTCCAGTTGGTTGTGCCACCAAAAATATTTGAACCAATCATAGAGCTTTTAGAGGACACGGTGTGATGGAGAGCATGTTTGTGTGCCCACCTGCCACAGAGGAAACCCTCAAGCTCTGCTGATCATTATCACCCTGTCCAGCATGGTGTAACACACACTTCTCCCTTTTAAAGAAGCCTACTCTGTGTGGCTTTCATGGCCCATAGAGGCAGCAAGGGGAGGAAATAATTGGAGGAAAAGGTGGCAGGATGCTCCCTGGGAGTCTCAGGTCATTGCAAACACATCTCCTGGGCTGGAGAGATAGCTCAGTGGTTAAGAGCACTGGCTGCTCTTCCAAAGGTCCTGAGTTCAATTCCCGGCAACCACATGGTGGCTCACAACCATCTGTAATGAGGTCTGGTGTCCTTTTCTGGCCTGCAGATATACACACAGACAGAATATTGTATACATCATAAATAAATAATATTAAAAAAAAAACACATCTCCTGTACTCTGACACTGGAACCGGGATTGGGCTAGGGGGCTAGGGCTGTCTTAGGATAGGCCCCTAAACCTAAATCTCATCATCTCATCCTCTTTGCACCAGGCAGGGACAAGCCTAAAATTACTAGCGAATTGTGGGGGAGAAGATCTCTCATTGAAGCAGAAGCCCACCGTTTCAGCTAGGCTAGCTGACTAAGAAGCTCTCAAGCAGGCCCCGCCTGTCTCTGCCATCGGGTTCCAGGCATGTGCAGCCATGCCTGGCCTTTTCATGTGGATACTGGAAATTCCAGAGCAAGCCCTCTTGCTTGAGAAGTGACCACTCTTACCCACTGAGCCATCTACCCAGTCCCAAATGAGTCTTCTTAAGGAGGGCCTTTGGCCAGGTGGTGGTGGCGGCACACACCTTTAGTGCCGGAACTTAGAAGACAGAGGCAGGCAACTCTGTGAATTTGAGGTCAGCGTGGTCTACAGAGCTAGTTCCAGGACAGCCAAAGCTACACGGAGAAAACCTGTCTCAAAAAAACAAATTTAAAAATTTTTTTAAAAGGGCGGTCTTTAATAAGGAGTTTAAGCCAGTGATATCAAAGGTACAGACAGGTAGAATTTCCTATTTCCAGTCTGGATAAGGACATTCTTATTGCCCACAGAGGGAGTGGTGGGAAATAAAATGCTTCATTGCCTTCCAGGAAAGCCTGAGCTCTAGGGTGTTTCTACCACTACGTCCCAGCAGGGGGCGCTCATAGCTCTTAAGGAACAGGCTGGTGCTGGTCCCCAGGGTTTAAAGCCTTGAAGCCACCAGGCAAACAGGACTATTCATAGGGCCTCAGACACAATAACCTGAAGGCAGGGCTCCATGCAATCAGTGAGAGGCTCCCTGCCCACAGCTTGCTAAGAAAAGCAACATCCAAAATACGCCCTCTGGCACACTAGTTCTACAGGATGCTTGCTGGGAAAGGGGTTCTTCAGCCCTAAGAATTTGGGCCAAGCCGGGCGGTGGTGGCGCACGCCTTTAATCCCAGCACTCGGGAGGCAGAGGCAGGCGGATCTCTGTGAGTTCGAGACCAGCCTGGTCTACAGAGCTAGTTCCAGGACAGGCTCCAAAGCCACAGAGAAACCCTGTCTCGAAAAACCAAAAAAAAAAAAAAAAAAACCAAAAACAAAAAAGAATTTGGGCCAAATAGTTATTCAAGCTACATTTTCTTCTAATTTTAACAATTTCCCTTTGGGCAGTGGTGGCTCATACCTTTAATCTCAGCACTCTGGAGGCAGAAGCAGGTGAAGCTCTGATTTCTAGGCAAGCCTGGTCTACAGAGTGAGTTCCAGAACAGCTAGAACAACACTGAGAAAGAGTGTCTTCAAAAAAAGAAAAAAGAAAGAAAGAAAAGAAGGGAGGCTCTGCCTAACAATCATGTCTATAGTAGAGTAAGATCCAGATTGCTGCAGGCCAGCTCGGATGGTCTGGGCTTCCCCAAGGAGTAGGAATCTTATCTCATATGCTTAGTCTTCCATCTCTGATAGCTGCAATCGCCCCCCACGCCTCCTCTCTCCAAGACAGGGTTTCTCTGTGTAGCCCTGGCTGTCCTAGAATTCGCTCTGTAGATCAGGCTGGCCTCACACTCAGGGATCAGCCAATCAGTCTGCCCTTGTGCCCCGAGTGCTGGGATTAAAGGTGTGTGCCCCCACCACCCAGTGGAAAGCCCTCTCTTAAGCTGAGGGCTTCTCATCCTCCAGCTGCAGCTGAGGGGTCAATTCTCTGAGGGAAGCTACCTTTTCACGCCTTAGTTCTTGGTCCCTTATGTGTTTACCATAACTCTGGACTCTGCAGACCTTCTGTGTTAGGGATTTTGAGGTTTGTCAAGGGAGGTCATGCCTCAGATGAAGTTTTTCCTTTAACCCTTTCTCTGCCTGGGAGAATGGCAGCTGGTAGCCCAATTATATCGAGTTTTTTTCCTCCGTGGGGGCATTTCTCTTATTTTTAGAAGCCCACTTGAGTTCATAAGCCAGCAAACAAAACCATTTCAGACCCAAAGGAACAAGTCAGTTACGGCAGAATCTGCTGGGTCATAAAGCAAATGAACCTCCCTATCATATTTAAATCCTGGAATACGGCTTCCACTTGCTTATGAAACTAATAGGCTTTGAGGCACGAGGAAGAAAGGCCAAAAGCATATTAAGTAAACCCTGAGAAGCCAGGCATGGAAGCTCATACTTGAAATCCCGCCGCTATAGAGGCGGTAGCCGGAGAACTGCCAAGACTCTCATAGCCAGCTGGATGGAGTACATAGTGAGTTCCAGGCCAGCCTGGTCTAAAGAGTGAGGCCCTGTTTCGTTTTGTTTTTTGTTTTTTAAAGACACTGGGTAAACAGAGCTATTTCCTGTATAACATAGATATCTGTCCCCACTTCCTCCTCAAATTGTGGTTTTCCTGTTTCTCTGGACGGTGACCATGATGCACCCATGAGCAGTAAAGGATACGTGGATGGCCGAGAAAGGAATCCTGTCAGCCAAGCCGCGCAGCCCACCGGGCTCCATCTTCACAGAGGGTAGGCGAGGCCGGCTTTCCAGGTGGACAGGGGTGAACGACAGGGGGAGCTGCTGCTGGCTCAACCCCCAAGGCTGCTGGGCAGACTCCGGGGAGGCACGGCTTTGGGCCTGGGACGAGTCCTGGGGAGGGCTGCCACTCCAATGGCCGTCGGGCCCACGACCCAGAAGCTGGCTAAGAATCTGGTTTTCCCAGATGTGGGAAGGCAAGGCTGTCAAGGGACAGTTTGACAGGGGACTCTGATACGGTTTGGGAACTGCTCTCGGAGAGGCAGGACACATAGGAGAATCTAGAGGCGTAGCCAGTGATGAACTACCCAAGGACACCCCAGCTTGTGGCTGGACCCTCCTAGGCAGGGTGGCAATAGCAAGTGGGGACTGATCGGTACTCCTTCTGCCCTCTGATGCTAGCCCCAGGCAGCTGGGTTCTTGCTGGGAGAGGTGGCCTGGTGGATCCAGTAGCACCTGTTGTAATACTGAGTCCACAGCCTGGGACATGGCCCTGCTTAGTTCCTTCCTCAGCGTCTCCACTAAAGCCCGTGGTCCGGAAGGACGGAGCATGGCCTCCTCCGCCTGCTGTTGTACCTCAACCATTCTGGGCTTTACTGATCCACCGATGTCCTTGTTAGAGCTCGGCTGGGGTTTGCTCTCCATGGTCCGGGGGCTAGGCAGGGAGCTGTTCCTCGGCTTTGCCCCCGTGGGGCTTCTTTGCTCTGTACCTCCTGGGCCCTGCGCAGGTGCTCTGGGCTCAGAGACCTGTAGGACATGCTCCTGTAGATGTCTTAGCTGTTGTTTCAGTAGATGGAGCTGCTCTTTTACCCGGGTCCCCCCCTTCTTGGATGCTCGATCCCAGACAGGAACTGATTTCAGGGGACCCTGGTGCATCGGAAGGCTCTGCTTTCTTTTCCGCTCCCGGGCCTTTTCTGGATAGCATGAGCGCTCCCTGGCTCGCGCACTGCCCAACACCAAGGGACTAGGAGAGAGACACATGCCGCGGACAATAGTCTCCACTCTGGCCCTCTTTGCCTGGATGTGCTCATTCCAAAACCAATCCGAGTCAGTTAGGCTGGAGCTGGTCAGCTGACCACTGGGAATAGAGGGGTCTCTGCCCAGCTCTACTGTGTGGGGGCTTCTCTCGCCTTCCACGCAGGTTTCTGCCAGGTGGGAGCAGGTCTGGGACTGAGGAGAAAGCAAAACAGGAGGTACATCCATTCCTGCCTCCCCGGACGCCCTGAAGGAGCTCAGGGCCTTTGAGAGCTCGGCTGAATTGAGCAGCCAGAGGTGCACGGACCCGCTGAAGTGACTGCCTCACACTCAGAAGGGTGGGAATCAGCTGCCTCGGGAGTTCAGGAAGGCCAGGGCCACGGAACCTTCGGGACAGACTCCTGAAATGAAAGACGGGAAGAAAACAACGTGGAGCGATGCTTTTCAAACTTGAATATACAAAGGAATCGCCTTGGGAGCTGGATAAAGCCCAGATTTCAGCGCAGCCAATCTGCAACGGGAAGAGACTGCATTTCCAGTGAGCTCCCAGGCCACATTCATTGGGGCACTGCTTTGAGAAACTTCCAAAAGTGAACCTCTTGGGGGTGGGGACTATCTGTCGGGGCAGAAAAATAAATAATAATGACAGTAGGATGTGGTGGTGCGCACCTTTAACGCCAGCTCTCATGAGGGAGAGGCAGATGGATCTCTGTGAACTGGAGTCCAGTCTGGTCTACATAATGCGTTCCAGGATGCCAGAGCCACATTAGTGAGACTGGGTCAAAACAACAGCTGATGACGGCGGCCAACGGAACAGCTTATCCAGCTTCTCTGGGCTCTGGTACAACTAGGAAGTGGCAGGCTGATGTCAAAACAAGCCTGGTCACATCCAGAAGGAACGAGAGCAACAGTGTTACCTGGGTTCTCATTTAAAACAGCAACGTCCATTGGTCCAGTTAGAATAAACAGGACCCTGGCGGGTGGGTCTTCCGTAGCCCAGGCTAGCCTTGAACTTACTGTGTAGCTGGGAGTGATGCTGAACTTCGGATCCTCTTGCCTCTGCCTCCTGAGTGCTGGGATTACTACCAACTGAGCCATATCCCTAGATTTGTTTGGTTTTGTACGAGACAGTGTCTCACTATATGCTGCCCTTGACCCCGAAATCCTGCTGCTTCCGTTGCCCAAGTATTGGGAGGCTGATGTCAAAACAAGCCTGGTCACATCCAGAACCCAAGATTCTTATCTGAAACAAGTTGAGTCATTGCTGCTTGACCGAAATGCTGTCCTGCATCCTTGAGACCAGAAGGTGCATTTTTTAAAAAGGCTTATTTATTTACTTATTATGTATACAACATTCCTTCCATGTGTGCCTGCATGCCAGAAGAGGGCACCAGATCTCATTATAGATGGCTGTGAGCCATCATGTGGTTGCTGGGAATTGAACTCAGGACCTCTGGAAGAACAGCCAGTGCTCTTAACCTCTGAGCCATCTCTCCAGCCCCAGAAGGTGCATTTTTAACTTAACTATCTATTCTACAACTACTATGGAACCCCTGCTCGGATCATGCCTCCTTGCAGTGGAAGGGCTGAAGACGAACTGTTGGGGCGCGCATTGGGGCGCACCGTGTGGGGCCGGGCGGCTGAAGGAAGAAGGCACTCCAAGATGAACTTTTAAGACCTATGTGGCAGCAGGAAGGTCCAGCCTCTTCTGCTGGACTGAACCCCAACAGCCTCACAAAGGCCTATTTATTGATTGTTACACAAACTACTTCCTCATACTAAGGTCCCTAAGCTAATTTACGCGGCTTACTAAAGGACAACATCACACGCCCTCAAGGCTTTAGTCCTTATTATGTAACATTTGCAACACACAATAATGCGAGAGCCTCAGGTGTGCCTGAGGTGTCTTGTGACCAATGCGTGGGATGGTTACAATATCCCTTCAGCAAAACAATTCTACAAATCACAGAAAACAAAGAATCCTTGTATTCCACAAGGACTCTTCAAGGTCAAAGGACTTCTAAAAAAAAAAAAAAAAAAAAAAAAAAACAAACCCAGATAAAATGACTGCTAAATTCCTACAACAACTGTCGGTCTGCTCACGGGATCCTGTTGGTCTAGGAGGGGGGCGCAGAAGGCTGTTTCTGGGTGTGAACCCTGCCAAGAAGAAAGCACTGAAAGCAGGAACTGGGAGAAGAGATAAGAAGGGAGCCGCTTTCACGAGAGCCACCCGGAAATGTTCTGTCCACCCAGAGTCTACTTAGAGGCTTCTAACAGGGAGAGCAAATGACTACAGGTTCAATCACACACACGTGTGTGCACACATGCACTCGCTTGCACAAGCACACACACACTCCTGGCAGTGGAAAGCTGACTTATTTCTGCCCACTGTTATCTGAGGCTGCCTCTTTTGTTGGTTTGTAAGCCTGCTGGTGATATTTACCCTTGGCTTCAGTCTCTACCAGGCTGCCAGATGCCAGGTAGAGACACTCAAGTTCTCCATGTCAAGGAGCAGAGGGCGGTGGTATGTGCAGTGATATCATGGGGGAACACACCGCTAATAAAGTTAGGGTCATGGGTCACATTAATGGGGAGAGTTTCATTTTGAATAAGACATTTGTAAATTATTAAAATAAAGATCTGGGGGGCTGGAGAGATGGCTCAGTGGTTAGGGGCTTTGCCTGCCTGGCAACCACATGGTGGCTTACAACCATCTGTAATGGGGTCTGGTGACCTCTTCTGGCCTGCAGGTATACGCACTGACAGAATATTGTATATATAATAAATAAATAAAATAAAGATCTGGGTGTGGTAGCTGAAGCCTTTAATCCTAGCACATGGGAGACAGAAGCAGGTGGATCTCTTTGAGTTTTAGGCCATCCTGATCTCTATAATGAGTTCTAGGTTAGCCGGAGGCTACATAGTGAGACCTGTCTCAAAAAATATTTTTAATTAAAAAGGAAAATTGGAAAATTAATGCAGGCTGAAAACTTCATTATTATTACATTTGTAATAATAATGGTTTGTGTAATGGTAAAAATAAAACCACACTGTTCCCCGAGTGGCTGCTGTGGGCAGCGGGGCCGAGACCACTGTAGGCCACGAAGGCAGCCAGTCCCAGGCCGGGAGCCCCCAGGTGGCCTGTGGGCCATAAGGGCCAGAGGGTCCTAGTCAGGGACCATGGTGGCACGTGAGAGACCTTGGCAGGGCAACCAGTCCCATGAGCCACAGCCGCGGCAGATGAAAGACAGACGGATAAGCACACCATGCAGAGTGAGGTTGGATATTTATTTAGTGGGTTATGGAGGGGGAGGGGAAAGGGGAGATGGAAGAAGGGAGAAGAGCAGGGAGAGGCAGAAGGGGGAAAGAGGGAGGGACTTGTCTCTTAAAGGGACAGGACAGACCATTACAACTTGTCCCTGTTGAAGAGAGAAATGTTCCTTAACTTCCTGTGATAATTTGACAATTTGACCATGAGTATTGTAATGTATATATGAAAAAATCTTTTTAACATTTATCTTTTGTGTGTGTGTGTGTGTGTGTGTGTGAAGGCATGTGCTCCTCTGTGTGTGTGCATGTAGATGCACAGGCCAGAAGAGGGCTTTAGACCCCCTGGAGCTAGAGTTACAGGCAGTTGTGAGCTGCCTTATAGGGGTGCTAAGAACTACACTCTGGTTCTCTACAAGAGCAGCAAGCCACTGAGTCATCTCTCCAGCCCCTAGAATAGTAATTTGTATTTTAAATGTGTGAGTACAGGCAAGAGCCGCCTTATCAAGCAATGAGGAGGGGTGAGATCTCCTATCTAGCCGTGCTATAATCTCCCTTTTGGTGGATGGCGTTTTCTCAGTGACATAGCCGTGGCATTAACTAAAATGCAGTAAGAATAAATATCGATAAATAATAAAATTGGAAGCCAGGTGGTGGTGGCCCACACCTTTAATCCCAGCACTTGGGAGGCAGAGGCAGGCGGATCTTTGTGAGTTCGAGACCAGCCTGGTCTACAAGAGCTAGTTCCAGGACAGGCTCCAAAACCACAGAGAAACCCTGTCTCGAAAAACAAAAAAAAAAAAAAATTAAATTAAAAAAAAATAATAAAATTGGAAACGTTTTGCTCTTATTTAACATTTGCGTTTGCCACAGGCATGGTGGTGAATGCCTTTAATTCCAGCACTCCAGAGGCAGAAACAGAGACAGAGGCAGAGTCTCAGTGAGTAAGAGGCCAGCCTGGTTTATCTAGTAAGTACCAGGCTAAAGACTACGTAGTGAGACCCTGTCGCAAAAAGTAAGATTTGTATGGGGAGCTATACTAGTTGGGAACAGGGTCTTATAGGGGAAGACTACGTTATTCATTCAGTCTCGTTGTGAACATAAAACTGCTCTAAGAGATGGCTCAGTGGACAGCACAGCTGCTCTTCCAGAGAACCCAGGTTCAATTCCCAGCTCACATGTGTCTAACTCCAGTTCCGGGGGATCTGGCATCCTCACAGAGACATATGTACAGGCAAAGCACCAATGCACACACAATAAATAATCATTTAAGAAATAAATTAAACAGGGGTTGGGGAGATGGCTAAGTGGATAAAGTGTTTGCTGTTCTGTGAGAAAAGGAAGAGAGAGAAAATAGCTCTGGCCCCCACACATGTCCTCATGGGCAAGCATACTGCACACATGTGTACATACATCCACACAACTAACGTGTGTGTGTGTGTGTGTGTGTGTGTGTATTTACAACTTTCAGGGCTGGGCTGGTAGAATGCCTGTCTAACCTGCATAAGCCATGGGTTCCATGCAACCCAGGCGTGATGGCACACATTTGTAATTCCAGCACCCAGGAGATGAAGGAAGGAGGATCAGATGCTCAAGATCACAGGGCAGTGGTGGCTCACGCCTTTAATCCCAGCACTTGGGGAGGCAGAAGCAGAGGGTTCTCTGTGAGTTTGAGGCCAACCTGGTCTACAGAGGGAGTTCCAGGACTGCCAGGACTATACAGAGAAAACCCTGTCTAGAAAAACAAACAAACAAAAAAGAAGTTCAAAGTCATTCTCACTATTTAGCAAGTTCAAGGGCAACTGTGCCAAATGGGACCTAGTCTCAAGCACAAAAACTGCCTTCAGTTTTCTCTTGTATCACATATGAAAAAAAAAACCCAGAGAAGCAAAATTATCTTACATGCTTAAATGTGAAGCAGAACTGGCAAAATAATGGAATGTTTACATATGATTTTTCCGTAGTTAAAAAGTGTAAAATGAAACTGAGGTTGAATGTCAAGTAAATGATAGACAAAGGAGAGGTGGTTGCACTCCCCTGCAGCCGGCTGCTGGAGCCCATGGACAAGCTGTGAAAAGGAACATCTGGAGCGCCCGGCTCCCCCAGCTGCTCCCCTATACTCCAGCACCATGGCCCTTCTCCCGTGAGTCTGTGCCCTCCTCTCAGATATCCCTGGCAATCTCTCAAAGCTTTGCCCAAGTCGGGCGAAGGGGAAGGGACGGCTGCCCCTGGGGCCAGCTCAGGAGCAAGCGGCTTCTCTCGGGCTATATCTCCCTTCTCTGGTGAGTGCGTATTTATGCCACGGCATACTCCAACCAGGGCAGGGGAACCAGCTGAGAAAGCAGATGGGTTCTGGGGAGTCTTCGGGTAAAGGGCCCCTTGGGAAGTCCAAGAGATATTAACTTGTTCTAGCACTGTCGCCGAAGCTAAATCCTAATTCATACAAGACAATGTATTCTGGCTTCCTTGATAAAGCTCCTGCCGGCTTCCTCTAAGGACAGTTTAGGAGTTGCCTTCAGGATTTTACTTTGCCCATTCCTTCCCTTGACTCTTTTATATTCCAACCAGACTAGCCTAGTGTCTTGGTAGTTGCCAGCCACAATTCCATCCAGAGAGATAGGGAGCAAAGTGTCTTTCCCTATGCAGAAGACCAAAGGACCCTCCATTGGTGAACAACCATTCAGCTGCATTTATATGATGCCCTTTTCCTTCTCTCATTGTATACCTACTACGCCTCTCAACTATTTACACAAATACCTGGCACAACTAACTGAAGCTGCCAACTTAAGACCCGTTCAGGGGCACATCCCAAAGTCCTGCCGTGCTTTCTGTCATACCGAGGTCTTTTCATGCATAACCTTATCTCTGTCACATTCTCCACAACAAGGGGCCCCTTGCGTTGTCCCCACTCTGAACTGCACTTGCTGGTGGCAGACATGGGAAAGGGGATCATATACTTCCAGGCCATTTCTGCATAGCCCTATCCTTCTGCAGGCATGGACCCAACTGGGTGAGAAGGCTGGCGACCTGAGGCATTGTTGGCTGTCAAGGATCCTGGGCTTACATCAGAATGGTTAACTCTCTAATGACCTTATGCAAGTCCTGCCTTCCGGCTTAGGATTTCTGTCTATAAAACAGGGCTGACAGCAGTCAGCCTCCTAAGGTAAGGGTACCAAGTAGTCACTCATGCCTAGGGCCGGGCTGGGAACAGGCGCCTCTCCCATTGCAGTTGCTTTTCTTCCTGTGCTGGTTCCTATAGCACAAAATGTGACGCCTACATGGTCTTAAGGAGCAACTGATACAGCGCTTTCCAAGACTTATAAACATTGACCATTAACAAAATGAAAAAAGGAAAAGAAATGGGACCCCTGGGAGAATTTTATTTCGGAGGTAAGGGCACACAAAAGTAAGCATTTAAAATATTGTAATCTTTTATCATCTAGTTTCCATAAAGGAAAATCTTAACCATCCTGTCATAAGGAAGGAGAAGGACACACATAGCTTGGGGGAAAATGTTTGTCCTGACTTTTGTTGTTTCCCTGGAAACTGATGAGAACATCCCAGAACTTGGCTCATCCTGGCACGCCCTCAGCTTTACAGGAGTCCAGAGAGGTGGAGCGCTGTGCCCATGCCGTGCCCACGGTACAGACTTAGGAAAATAGCTCCGGACCTCAGAGATGGTGTTGTGCGACAAGATGGTGTAGCTCTTGTGCGGCTGCACAGGAGTCTGGGATAGAAGAAGGGATCTGGGCTCTG